CCACTACCGCTACCGACAGACGACATCATGGACTTGCTAAACATTTGCCTAACGTCTACTTACTTTCAGTACAACGGTAAACACTACAAACAGTTACACGGCACTGCCATGGGGTCTCCAGTTTCTGTTGTTATAGCAGAAATTGTGATGCAGAACATCGAGGAACGCGCCCTTTCGACTTGCCGACAAACGATACCGCTTTGGTTACGTTACGTTGACGACACATTCACCGCCGTTCGACACGACGAAATTGACGCATTCCACAACCACCTTAACGAACAAAACACTGACATACAGTTTACCAGAGAAGTCGAAGAAAATGGCAAACTTCCTTTTCTAGACTGCCTGGTAAGCCACAACGACAACTCATTACGAACGACAGTTTACAGGAAACCGACACACACCGACAGATTACTAGACGAGTCATCCTACAACCCTACATCACACAAAGCCACAACTATCAGAACTCTAACACGACGCGCACAACTAGTATGTGACTCGACAGACAGCTTATCCGACGAGAACAAATACCTTCACCGTGTTTTTACGAAGAACAACTACAACAACGACTTCATCCGACGAAACACTCACCGACCCACTACCACTACCGAAACAAACGACACCGCAACCCCTACGACTACAGCAACCATACCGTACATAAAAGGCATGTCTGAAAACATCTCGCGCATCTTACTACCCTTCAATATCCGCGTCGCCCACAAACCCATCACCACACTACGTCAGTTACTAACCAACGTTAAAGACAAAGACGAACCGAGGAACAGACAGGGAACGATTTATAAGATCAATTGTTCCGACTGCCAAGCCTCCTACATCGGTGAGACTGGCAGAAACCTCACAACAAGACTGACTGAACACAGACGGGCGACGAGGAAAGGTGATGTCAGCAATCACATTGCTGAACACCATCGACTTACCAACCACAACATTGACTGGGACTCTGCGCAATGCCTAACCTACAGCACTGACTATTTTCAACGACTGACTCTGGAAAGCTGGTTTACTAACTTAGAACAGACTCCCCTAAACAGATGTCAACAACTACCCGCCCCATACAAACGACTCATTCACGACATAAACATCACAAACGACCGAAAAAGAACAACCTAGCTTTACCGACAGACCGAAACAGACCAATCACGAACGACTTACGTCACTTGAGTCTTACAGCCAATAACATCACGGCAAAACCAACCGATCATTTCACACGAACTGGAATAAGAACATTCTACTGACAACAATCACTCACTTGACTCTGATGATAACTTCCGCACAGGTTGTCGAAACGTCAGTCACTGCCACCGACAACAGTCCTTCTCAGGACTACACTCACCCGGACTATCAGACTACACCTTCACATGTTACCCCCGGGTTCAAACCATTTACTGCAGAAAAGGCTTTGTTTTATTTCAAGCAAAACGTACAAACCCGGGCATCGTGTGTGCTTAACATCAACTGAATGAAGTGAATTGATGCAGCCAAAACTTATCAGAATTTCTTTTCACGATCTGCAAGTTTAGAGTGTATGATGTGGCTTTTTTGAGCAAGCCCGTAAATGCCTCTGAAAGTTAACCGCTGACCAGCTAGGCCCAGACTTCTTTCGAGTTAGTTCAGATGCACTCAGTTCATACTTCAGTTACAGAAATCCTTATCTTGAACACAAGAGTAAATAGTCACTATGCTTTTGATTTCTGAAATTTAGCATTTGAAATCTTTCTTGGTGCTAAAATCTTGATAACAGTTCTTTTTACAGATAAACAGTGAAAAAATGCTTGGTTAACCAAAATTTAAAAATGCCAAAAAATGCTAGCATAATCGGGAAGGGCCTACGTACTCCACTCCAGGAGAGTTTAATTTAGGTTTGTTCAATTGCACCGGTCTTGTCCAATCAGATTCCAATAATTGTGTTGAGTATACTAGAAATCGATGAGCGACTTGGTGGCTTTGCTCTCAGTCAGTGCCCATGTTTTTTTTGCGATGAATAATGCAACATCCTTACAATAAAACCAAAAGGTTCGTAGATGACACTGGAGAAATTTACTGTACAAGAAATAGCTGCTTTTTGAGAAGCGGCTGTCAATAATCAGTTTGTAAGTTAACACAAACAACGACAAAATGTAGCAAATGTGTAGTGCTATAGCACTAATTAAAATTACGACTTACCATTAATTTTGAAGGGATTAAAAGCCTGTACGGCCTCCCTGTCTTCCACATCTTCCACTTCATCTTCAGTAGATGAATAATCAGTTTTTACAAACTTTCCAGTTGACATCATTTTTTTTATGCCTACAATTTCTAAGTCGGAATTGTGACTGTCATCGTCATCTATTGCCCCGTACAATTCCAACGCATCCTCCTCGCTCCTTTCCAAAGTGAATTCCTGTTTTAAGAAAATTACATATGATGTACGGTCCTCGCAGTAGATAGCGCTATTTAAGCAATAGCGAAAATCAGACCTGAAAAAAATCAGGCCTGTACGGGATTTGAACCACTGACCTCTGCGATACTAGTGCAGTGCTCTACCAATTGAGCTAACAAGCCAACTGAGAGCAGGCCATTAAGTTGATTCGTAATAAACCCGTGAAAGTGATAAATGAGAAAAAGTTAAGATTTTCAGTTTCAAGATCAATGTTAGCCTCCTGTGCAGGCGTTTTTTTTGTGTCGTCACGCAACGCTTCTCCCCACAAATGACGCTAAAAATGCCTGGGTAGGAGGCTAGGTTAACATTGACTGAGAAACAAAACGTTAATAAACAAAAGTGAACAAGCAACAGATTGCATGTTTGAGAAATGCTGCCAATCGGCCTTGGATAAGGCTTATCGGTTTACTAACGACAACATTCGACTTCAGTTCTGAAATAGTTTTCAGGTAAAGCCATGAAATATTCTGTTTACTGTTTCCAAAAGTTTGCCCCGGCATTTGAGTCCAGTTTCGAGTTACTCATGCACTTGTATGAAGTACCGAGACCTTTGTTTCATTGCAAATACCCAGATAATAAATGGGGGGATAAATATCTTTTGGCAAAATTTAAAATTACTTTAAAATTTGAAGTAGGACTGATCTTTTGCTTATGTTTGTTCGGTTTGGAAATGACAAGTATGTATAGTGATTTTCAAGAGCTTACAATTGCAACCACGAAATTCAACATAATTTTAATTTCTTTACAGTTGACCCTAAATAGACTTACCTCGTAGTTTGAAGTCATCAAGATGTCTCAGTTTATTCTATTTAATGACAGTGGAATCTCTCAAATGGACCTAAATATTCTTCTTGAAATCCGCGCGAGTGTCGAAAGTATTTCTACCTGGCCGTGACCTTTGAACTGCTTTCACAGCGGGGAGTTCCCTGAACACATTCTGTAACACCACGCATTTCTTTCTTCAATCACCTATTACCCGCCACCCGCTACCTGTGGAAAAGACCTGCCGGCCCTAATACTAAACACAGACAGTGGTTAGGACTCCAGATTCCATTATACTTTTGAGAAAAGTGTCTTGGATCAACAGGACACTCGCTCAAATTTGAAAAGTGCTGTTTGTGTGGCATTTTCAAAATAGTGTAATTCTTAACTGTTTGGTCAAGATTTACTTACTTTGCTATTAATCAACAGAAGAGATGTAAAATAATACCACATGTCGGATTTATGCTATTTGAACAAATGCGTAAGCTTTTAGAACCTCTGGCGAAACGCTGAAAGTTAATGCTGAAATTAACAATTTTCTTTGATTTTGACCATCCTCACATCTCGTTGCCAAAAATTTGATAACCAAATAAATACAATTTTTGCTGATAGAATAGTTCAAATATCTCACAGTAAAAATTTGAGGAATTCTGTGATCGGCCGAAATTCGAGTGGTCGGTTCTTACGTGGACAGCCTCTTAATTTTTAGTTTGTGCGATTGATCTGCTATTCACCAAAATTTCCACTGAAAATTATTGCATGTACCTAACATTTTCTTTCTATCAGGGTAACTGCCAAAATTATATAAAGTTGCTACTCTTTGACCAACAAGAAAATATTTTTGTTTGCGGTACCTATGCTGCTGCACCTAAGTGCTGGAAATTCAAGGTTAGTCATGTTTACATGCTGTACCTTTCCTGTACAAAGTACCATGTTAGCTTACTTAGTTTAAAAAAAATTGCAAACAAAACAGGGTACAGTGGGTAATTTTTGCTATTGTAATTGAAACATCCTATTACATAATTATTTATTAATAATATACAGTTGCAGTACAGTGGTACTATTTCATGGAAAACCTTTACATTCTTTAGTCTCAATTCCATGCAAAATTTCTTTGTCAGTCAAAAGTGAAAGTAGGGCAGTATCCATATAAAGTATTTCTGGTGGTACTATGTTCATCATTGCTCTGAAGAAAAGTTTTGTTGTTTGATTATAACTGTCTTGACCTCATTGGCAGTGTTGGGCAGCAAGGACAACTCAGTGAACAACATGAACAGTCTTTATTTCTAAACTCAAGCACGAGGAGCTTGCTCTTAGTAACTAGAACATGATGCCTGTAGCCCATATGTAGTTTCCCTCAGAGGGGGCCTAAGTACAGGTGATGGGCCAACATCCCCCCTCTTTGAAAGGAAAAAAAGAAACAAAAACAGAAACAAAGCATATAAGAATAGTAATAGTAAAGAAAGGTGGATAGCGCTGATAGGGCCCAGGTTTCCTGAGTAGTGACAGCAGTACTGTTGTGTAGCTCAAGTGTTAGTGGTGGGCGTTACTTGATTTCAAAGTCTTTAAACCTAATTGGTGGTTTGATGAGTCTTGTCCGGGCTCTCACTTCAGGTTGGTGATCCCTGGGCTGGTCTTGAATTGTGGCAGGGGGTGCGTTGGTACACAGCTCACTGTGGGCCATGTCGGGTGTACTTGTTGCCAGAGGTTTTGGTGTTGAGGAGGAGGAGGTGTTGAGGTCCAGTGCACTGTTGTTTGTGTCTGAGGAGGAGGGTGGTTGCTGTCTTGGCTGATTGGTGGGTGTGTTGGGCTTTGAGCCCAGAGGATTGCATTGTGGCATGAGGTTGTGTCCTGGGCTGGGTTGGGAGTATAGGTGGAGTGCAAGGTGGTGTTGGAAGAGAAGGAGGTGCGGCATGCCTGATGTGTAACCAATTTTGTTGAATGGTACTGTGTGGTGTTTGTATGGTGTAAGACCTTGCATGGCGTTTTCCAGTGATGCGGCCATATGCCCATGGGCTTCCTGGTTTGCTCGTCAGAGGGTGTACGTACACAAATTCACCAATGTTCAGTTTAGTGTGCTCTGGACCTGCTGTCTTGTCATAGTGAGTTTTACTTGCGTTGCACTTGGCCTTGATCTCCACTGATAGAGTCATGGTTGATTGAGATGGGCTCCAGAAGGTGGTCAGGTGTTGGGAGTGTTGTTCTGGTCCGACGGCTCACCATGCGTTGGGCAGGGGAGTAGGTGTGGCCTTTTGGTGGTGTATTCCTGTAGTTAAGCAAGGCGATTTGGAGGTCATCTGATTTCTTTAGTATAGACTCCGATACTTTCACTGCTGCCTCCGTGCGGACATTACCTTGGGAATGGTAGGGACTTGAGGTGGTATGTTTCAACCCATACTGAGAGGCAAAGTTCGTGTAATCTTGGCTGGTGAATTGTGGGCCGTTGTCAGTGTGGCAGATTCTTGGAATGCCAAACCTGGCAAAGTGAGCCTTAGTTTTGTTTATGACTGTTCTTGTCAGAGTGTCATCAAGGGCATCCACCTCAATCCAATCAGAAAAGTGGCATACTGTCACAAGGTAGGCTTTCTGTTTGTGCAGGAAGACGTCTTGGCTGATTATCTGCCATGGCAGTGTTGGGATTGGGAGTGGTCTCGTGGGTTCCTTTGTTGACTTTGATCCGTACTGTGCACGGGTGCTACAATTGTTGCACATATCAAATACTGCTTGTCTCATCCCAGGCCAGAATAGTACTTCTCATGCCATGCGTACATTGGACTCAGGGCTGAAGTGGTTTGCATGGATTTTGAGCAGCTTCTCCTCTTGCATGGACTGTGGTATCATCACTTGTGCACCTTTGTAGATAAGGCCATTGTCAGTTATTAGTTCATTCCGGTAGGTCCAGTATGATGGAAGAGGGTGTGGTACCTGTTTTCTGTCATCTGGCCAGCCTTGAGCACTTGTGGTCATTAACTTGGAGAGGTGTTCATCTTTTTTGGTCTCATCGCATAGGTGAGATTGGGTGGTTTCTGTGAGGCGCGTATTGTGTGTGTCAGATTCCTCTGTGATTTCAGTCCTGAATACTTCAAAATCTGTGACCCTGGCATGAACTGGGGTAGGCAGTGCGGCTCTGGAAAGGGTGTTTGCTAGGTAGAGTGAGGTGCCTTTCTTGTACTTGATATTGAAGCGGCATCTCTGCAGTCTCATTAGCATTTTGTGTAGTCACACTGGGGCTTTGGGCAGGGCCTTTTTGTAAATGGTCTCAAGGGACTGGTGGTCCGTATGGACTTCTATGTCAGATTTCCCATAGAGCCAATGGTCAAATTTTTGAAATGTATTGCAAATGGCCAGGCACTCTTTTTCTATTTGGGAGTATCACTGCTCTGTTGCATTGAGGCTGTTGGATGTGTAGGCAACAGGTTTGAGGTGTCCTTCACTGTTGGGCTGGAGGATGGCGCCGCCCACGCCTTCTTCACTTGCGTCGACTTGAAGTGTGACTGGTTTATTGAGGTCACAGCATTGGAGCACTGGCGCGGTGGAAATGAGTTGTTTGGCTTTGTTGAATGCATCATCTTGTGCTTGTGCCCACATAAAGGGGGTATCTGACTTGGTGAGTTGAGTAAGGGGCTGGATAACGGTGCTGAGGTTGGGGCAATAGGGCAAGAGGTAGTTGGCCATTCCCATGAATCTCTGTACACCTACTTTGTTTCGTGGTGGGGCCATTTCCAAGATTGCTGCTATCTTGTCTGGGTCTGCTTGCATTCCTCAACCAGTGATAAGATTGCCCATGAACTTGACTTGTTGTAGTTTGAACTGTAGTTTTGTTTGGTTTAGTTTCATGTTCTTTTTTTGATCAGCGCTCCATGAGGGCAACAAGACGGCGGTCATGGTCCTTCTCAGCTTCCTGGTAGGATGTTTCTTGGCCAAAAGACAAGTATATCATCTGCTATGCATAGTACTCCATCAAGGCCCTCTAGAGCCCACATGAGACGCTTTTGAAATTCCTCGGGGGCACTCAATTTGCCAAATGGGAGGCAGAGCTATCGGTATCTTTTGTAAGACGTGTGCATGGTCATCATGAAGGACGATTCTTTATCAAGGGGTACGTGTAGAAATCCTTCTCTGACATCAACTAGTGAGAAACATTTGGCATGCCAGAGTTTGTGGAGTTGTTTGGACAGTGTTGGCATTTGGTATATTGGTCTGAGAATACCTTTATTGACGGTTTAACTGGGGTCAATGCAGATTCTTGTCTTCTTGGGTGTCTCTTTAATGACTTCATTGGAGCACCATGAGGTGGATTCCTCTACTTTGTTATGATACTGGCTGCAGCGTATCGGTCAAGGGCTTCCTTTTCTTTGATACGTTTAGCTATGGGAACTCGATGAATTGGCATTTGTACAGGTGAGACGTCAGCTTTTACTTTGAAGTGAACTGGGGGTCCCAGGCAGCCAAGGCCTTCGAAGTTTTCAGGATACTGAGTCAGTATGTCTTCCTTTGTGAGTTTCCCAGGTGGGGCCAGGTGTCCTTTCCAAGGAATCATTATGGGTTTGGAGGGTGAGGGCGTTGCTGGGTCACCATACGGCCTGTCCTTGTTGGGTTGGTTAAGCTAGCAGCCTTCTACTTCCTTGGGAGTGCTGTGAGTTGGAGCTGTTGGGTTGCTTGGTGAGCAGGTGCTCTCTTGCCTGAGGAGTCTTTTACTGCTGGTGTGAGGGAGAATATTTTGTGTGCCTTGATGATAATGAGCCCAAGGGCTTCGCAGTCGGAGCCAGAGAGGAGGGCTGGTTTGTTCATCATGACATTTCTGGGAATTATCTGGAATTTGAGTGGTTCATATCTTTTGTTTCTTTTGCACAGAAGGTCAATCTGTCCCAGTGGTTTCAGTGGCTTGGAGTCACCATAAGGGTGAAGTAGGTAGAGTGACTTTGTGATCTTCATGTTTGGCATTAGCTTGAGAAGGACATCTTCAGACAAGGTATTGCAGGTGGCGGCAGTGTCTATCTGGAATGTCACTGGGGTGAATTTGTTCCCAGTTGCAGACATGGGCAGGGTAACAAAGTATTTTTTCTTTGCGTGGTCTGTATGGACACTATGTATTTGTTGTGTTTCCAGGGAGTAGCACTGTTCCTGGTAGTCATTTGTGTAAAAGGTTACAGGGTGCTGATCATTTGCCGTCTGCAGCAGATGTATGTTTTGTTCTTTAGGGGATCTTGGTTGGGAGCGGCCGCCAGGTGTTCTGTGGCCTCGACCCCTGCCTTGGGCTTGCCATTGGGTGGTTCTTCATGGTTGTTCTTGTTGCAGGGGGCTTGTCTCAAGACAGACTCTAGAGAAGTGGTCATTAATTACACACTTAGTGCAGGTTTTGCCATTTGCAGGGCATGCTTTCCAGGGATGAGGTCCGCGTCGATCTCCACACCAAAAGCAAGTTCCAGGCTCCTGCTTTAGTTTCATTTGTTTATGGCTTATCCAATTTACTTGTTCCTCAATTCCTTTTGAGGCGTCTGCGATTAGTTTGTTGGCTTTTTGAGCCAACTGAAGGGCTTTGGCTTCAGCTACCATGTCTTGCATAGTCTTAGGTGCTCCATCTGGTTTTAAGTGTGTTTTGAGTAGCTCAGCTTGCATTGTGCTATCGTGTAGGCCAAAAACGAATTTGTTGCGGCACATTTCGTCAGTCAGTGCATTGTACGAGCATAAGCTGCCCATGTGTCTGACCTTGACCTCCCATTCTTGAATGGATTTGTGTAGACTCTGCTGAGTGTTACAGAATTTAAATCTGTATGCTAATAGGGAGCTTCCAATAGATCCCGTGTAATGAAGTCGTAGTTTGTCCATCCAGATCCCTGGTTTTTTCAGATCATCATCTGCTATCTGGGGTTCAATGGTGTAGTGGATCACTTGCAAGGCTTTGTCTGGCATTGCCGATCAGAGTTCCGATATTTCCAGCAATGGTTTTTTGTAGTAATCTGCTCTTTGTGTCTCTGGGTTTTTTGCCAACTTTCTGTAGTCAGCTTGGATACAGTAGTCATGGAATCTGAGTTCAAAGTTCTTAAAGTTTTCTGGCATATTCCCACTGAGTTTCAATTCAGGTCATTTGAAGGTTGCCACCATTGTTGTTTTACTAGTTTGCCACTATCGTTTGCTTTGGATGTGCATGTAATTTCCAAAGATCCTTCTCTTTTCGATTTATCTGATCAATCCCACTCCAGACACCATGTTAGGCAGCAAAGATGACTCAGTGAACAACATGAACAGTCTTTGTTTCTAAACTCGAGCTCAAGGAGCTCACTCTTAGTAACTACAACGTGATGCCCGTAGCCTGTATGTAGTTTCCCTCAGAGGGGGCCTAATATAAGTACAGGTGATGGGCCAACAGCAGTATGCCAAGCAAAAAGAAGTTGCATATAAATTAAGCCATGGCTTTGTCATCAGCGACTTTCTCATTGTGTAGCACTGACTTGTATAATATTTTGCCATGGTTTGAAATGAAGTTTAGAGGGCAAAGACCAGTCTGGATGTTTGATAATCAGTCTTCTGAACTCACAGCCAAACGCTACTTACAAGTTGTTGAATTGCTGTATCATTCTATTGCTCCATATCACTTGGTCACTCTTCCCTTCCACTCTTATACTTTCAGTAAATCTGCATACTTTTATTTAAGGCTTGCACATATTGTTTCTTTGTGAAGGGTCCAGATGGCGTTAAACTGATAGCTGAGAATTTGTAAAAATTTTCACTATCTGCGGAGAAATCAAGCATTTTTATCTGATGGCTGAGATCTGAGATAAGCATTTTTTTGCCAAATGAAAACAGGCTGAAATTAAAACTTGGTGCATATTAAATTTGCACATGATTGGTCCTGAGAGATATATACCATCCTACAGTGTGTTCAGTTGGAGGGGGAGATCTTTGATGGAAGATTTTACTCAGTCTATAGTAGGACAGATTCTAGTGAGATGTCTATTTTCTAGTTCTAATGAAGACAGTTGGCTTTTCTTTAACTAAACGATTTCCATCCAATATTCCCATTTTGTGCTAGTTCTTTTGTTAAACTTTTTTATCCTCAGATTCTCAGGGTCCTGAAGTTGGTATCTATAGATTCATTCAGTCTTGAAAGTTCACTTCTGACTACCGGTATATCTCAAAGAATACTTTCTTTTAGAAGTGGGTTAAAAAGTTTGGTGAGTCTTTTGAATTAAGATCTCCACCAAAAGCAATGGAACCTCCAAATTTTTCTGGCTTGTGATCTGATAAAAAATCTCTTTCTTACCACTATTGTTACAATCTAATTTTTTTGCATCCAGTGTTTTGTAGATTAAGGATGCAATATCAATCATTTAATTTCCAACTTCCTTTGAAGTGAAATTGTGAATCATTCCACCTCTTTTTTCCCTTTACTTTTCCAAAGGAAACTAAAAAGAATTGGTTAATTTGTTTTTGATAATTTCATGGTTTGAATGAAGTGGACATGTAGCTAAGCNAAAGGGCTAACGCTCGAAACGTCAGCTTTTGTAATTGTTACGGTGGCCAATTTACCATTTCAACTTTCTTGATAAATTATATCCAAACTAAATAAATGTAGTTTTTGTTGCTGCACGACAGCAATCCAATTTATATACTCCATGTTAATTTTTTTGGTACAGCTAGGTAGAATTACAACATTGTTGGTAGACATTATGCTAGTATATGATATATAATTTCTATAACTTGAAATTCTTGGAGGAATAACTGTGTGTAAAATAATAAAGTTGACTTGAGTTGACTTATTAATGCATTTGATACTGTGATCCCTTGAGGCATAATTTACAGACATTGTTGTTTTATTGTTATTGTTAATATATTTGTTCTCATTATGTTTTCCAATGATTCATACAGAGAAATGATGCACTGAATCCACAACCTGATGCAATCAATGGAGATGGAATAAGTCCATCTAGTTATCAAGGCAGAGTGACTGGGATTTTTACAAGTATGTATGCCTGTCTCCTCTAGAAAAAATTAGACTTCAATCAAACTCCCCTCAGAGCTATAAATAAGGGCCAGTGGCTTGCCAAAACCACCACTTAATATGCACTCTCCAGCCAGGTACTTTTGCCATACATGTATTGCTATTGAAATATGATACAATTATTAAAATACCATTAAAGAAACTCCTTACCACAGCCATTGGAAGGAAAGATGCTTAACTTATTCTGGGAGGAGCAACAAAGAAATTTTAATTTCTTTAAGGTCTTTAAAAATAATTTACCCAGGGAGCCCTTTGTTGAACAGTCCTCCTGTTGCTTCCCAAATAGTCTCTAAAGGCAGCAACATCTTACATGTGGTTTTAAAAATTGTTGGGGAATAAAGGTGACTTGCAGCCTTAATTTCTATGAAGATATAAACTTTTTGGTGTAGGAAACATTGGCAGACTTTGACATTGTTATGACATTCGACACATAGGAGAAGGCAGCATTGGGTCTTTTGCTCTAATGCATGCAGTAAGGTTATACATAATTGGTATGAGAAATGCCTTTAAGGATGGTGATGTGGCAGCCAGGTAGGCAGAACAGAAAATTCTCACCAGTCATTACTAGCTGGCTAAAAGCAGGGGGAAGTGATTCCTTGATGGCTGAAAGACCAATTTTTGAATCATCTGCAAAAATGATTAAATCCTTCCTTCTGAATTTCAAACAGACAAACCTGTGTCATTTCAGTGCATTAATTTGGCTTTTATACTTTTTTTGAATTCATTTATGAATTGGTTTACCAAGAGTGAACTTGCACAGTGTGTTGCTGCTAATTGTGAGATCACTTGTTTGTAGGTAGTTACTTGTTTGCTGGGATCAGCAGTAGGAGAAGTAGGAGATCGCTTATTTACAAGACTGAAGCAGATCTGAGCAGGAGTGTAGTCTTGACATCTGATTCATCTTTTAAAGTTTTGCAAGGTTGATAGTTATAGCTATTTTGTTGTGACGAACTCTATATACATTAATTTAACGTAAAGACTTGAATGAAATTGAACCCTACAATACAGTTTTCAGTGAGAAGCATTTATTTACATGTAGTAGCTTCCTGTCTCACCCATCCTGTATTATGAAATCTTATGTTTTTTTTACAACTTTTGAGCTACTACTACACTAAATTGGAGTCATGTGAGTAAAGGTTGGCCATGATGCCTGTATCTTTTGCAAATCAAACAAAAGAAGACATAAGGAGAGCAAGTTCTCATCAATACCTAGATCTTTCTGTAGCCTTTTCTTGCTCACAGCTAGGTCATTATGGCAAGTTCTTCTGAAACAGCTTGTAAGCAAAGAGTATGCAGTAGTTGAACAATCAAGTTAACCAAGTCAAATTTTCATTACAGGTGCAATGTACACTGTAAGCAGTGGCAGATTCAGACCTTGAGCTGGGGGGGGGGGAGGGGGGGGGGGGGGTGTTCACCTGCCAGCTTTCCTTCCTTCTGTGATTTTTCTTTAACCCAAAATAATTAGAGGGGTGTGGGGCCCACCCCTATTTCCACCATTGGTAACTGGGGATTTCTAAGAACCGTGGACCTATGAAATTTTAGCAGATGATTACTGACTTCAAACCATAGGATACAATAATGAGAAAAAAAAAACCCCAATAAAGTAAAACTTATATATGCACTTTTTCTTTTAAAACATTGTGCTTGTTGATCACCCCCCCCCCAGATAATTTATGACAACAGCCACCAAACTTATTTCAATTTTAAGTGAGTCTTTGCAAAACTCTCTAATGCAATTAAACATAAAAATAATTATTAAGCATAACCAGCATTAGTGAAATTCTTTGATGCACAGGATACTCACCTGTTAGACAATGTCCCATCACAAATTATGCTGTCCACTCTTTATGAAAACCTTGTCCAGTTTATTTCTGTGTTTTTAAAGCAGCCCAACACATAACCAAACTCTTAAACACCAAGCTGGGCCATACACAGTAACTAAGTGAATAATTAACAAAAAATCTATAGACATAACCTTCGGCTAAAGACAGTGTTCCTTCATAATGTATGTTTTATATCAAGTCCTCTGTAACTGAGGGGAGCCACATGCAAAATGGTGGCAAATTGGCACCTCAAATTGTTAGCAAAATCAATTTTTGAACATTTTTGTAGAATCAATTTAAAAATTGTTTTTTTTTTTAACATGAAAAGTTTGTTTCTTTATTTGTTTTTAGATGCTGACTTTGTAACTTCTTTTCGTCATCTGGACAACTTTGTGTACTTCTTTTTTAGAGAAACTGCTGTAGAAGCAAGAAAGGTGAGTCAAAGTATATCACACAGTACCAAATTGAGTTTGTCATAAATCTGCTGCTTCTTGACTGTGTAAAGGACTGCTTCTCAGCTTTCTCATTGTAGTGTGTGGTAAACTTGACACTCAACAACGACAACAACAACAACTTTTATTTCAACACGATGGTAATTAAAGTGGTGCCGCTTATGGGGTCGTGCAATTAAACTAAAACCTAGGATAAAAATATATTAAAATCGTCTCAATGATATGAGACGATTTTAATATATTATTGTTATGCATAAGCCATCAGCTTGCTAGGATGTAATAGTGTGTCTTGATCGAAGTGTGAAAAAGATTTTTCAACCAGCCCTCTAACTCCCAGAAGTGATTAATATATAACTTTTCCCCATAATATCCATCAATAATCCAGCAAATAGGTGAAGAGAATATACAGATAGATGTTATCTTGATCTGACACCAAATTCTTGTAACTAGTTTGCAAAGAAATGCCAAGCAGATTGAGGGGAGAAGTAACATTCACTTCATTGGAGAGGAATGCTTGCCTTCTCACCAATGCTTTAATGCTACAACAAGCTACAACAGCGCGCTCAAAGAGGCAGGCATCTCCTCTCTTTACGACAGAAGAGCATCTCTATCGTTTGATCTTTTTAATGACATTGTTCTTGACACTAATCACAAGCTCGCTGGTCTGCTCCCACCTAAAGCGGAGCACCACAGGCAGCTGCGCAGCAATAGGAAGTTTAACGTGCCAGTGTGCAAGACTGATCGTTTTAAAAAATCCTTTATTGTTAGCCATAGCCTAAGGATGTAAATATATATGTTTAAGTATGTATCTTTTTTTAACACAAGATCATCTAAGTGAAACTTTTTTAATTAGATTTGTATATTTTTATTATTAAGATTATCAAACCATTTTAACTATGAATTTTGTTTCTTGTATTGTATATTATACACGTAATTCAGTCTTCGGACTGCGAGGTGTTTCTTTTTAATAAACGATTTATCTATCTATCTATCTATCTAATGGGTATATAATCTGCTAGGTGAGAGATAACCTCAAAGCATCCATTTCTTCTTTAGTTTAGTAATGTTGTAAACCGGTAACATTTGCAACTGGGTGAACATTCATTTGCTTAGAAGGATAAAGTAAAAGTTAATTTACATGGCAAGTGAAACACAATTGAGAGCTATCTGCATGGTTTCTCCTCTAGGTGGTTTACTCAAGGGTGGCAAGGATTTGTCAGGTACATGCCAAATTTTTTTGTGATGCAGTGATCTCTCTTGATTGTGTTTTTATTTACTTTTTTAAAAAGTATCCTGTCAAAAATAGTTTCCTTCTCACAACTGTCAGATGACAGCAGAAAGCATTTGGGTTTGTTGCTGGCACCAATCAGATTGAGATTGCTTGTGAGCAACCAAGCCCATAATTAGAGAAGAGGGAATACAAACTATCAATCATTATCAATGAAGGAGGTTAGGTTCCTATGCTTTGGAATATGCAATAAAACTAACATTTGTATAGAGGCTCATGCAACTTCTCCAAGTTGAATGCTCAAGGGGAAAGAGGAAATTCTTCTTTTAAGAAAATGTGCTCTTCAGTACTAAGTTTGAAAAGCAACTATTGATTGCTCTCTTCAGGGTCCCAATCACTGTTTTTGAAATGCATAGCCCAAGACTCTTGGGCCTGATATCTTTATTCAGGGGGTGCATGGGCCAGAACTATGACAATATAATATGTTATTATCTGTAAGAAATAAATATAAAAAAGTGAACTAAACACTAAGTGTCTTTTCATCATGAAATGCAACTCTTAATCAACGAAATTTGCCTGTGAAAGAAGAAAAAATTATGCTCTGTACGCTGCCAGTCTGGATCTTGCTTTGCAACCAGATGCATAATAAAGTCTCACTCTTTTTCCCACCATTTACATTGGTGATCCATTTTAAAAGAACTATTCTGTCAAGCTAGTTAGGTAACCAAACCAGTTTCTGTTTTTGAAGGGCATTGTTTAACTCCTATTAGTCAGTTCTCTGAAAGTCTGTGAATTCACACAATCATCTCTGGCCAACCTTCTGGGTTGTAGTGTTATTTTCTTTCTTATTTGACCAGGCATGTACTAACACCCTTTCAAAATATAATCTAAAACATCGCAAGTACTTGCACTGACTGTAGAAAGGCATGCAAGTAATGACGAACAAGAAAAGTTCAAAGAAAATGATATGCTTCACCATTAAACACTTATAGGCACTGTTTGTTTTTTTTTAGTATGACGAGGGAGGTGATGGACGATTGAAAAATAGATTCACTTCATTTGTAAAGACCAGAATAATGTGTTCGGTCCCTGGCAACATTCCATTTGATTACAACGAAATCCGTAAGTCTGTACAGGATTATTTCTTTTCCTGTATTTCCTTTGTACAAATGCATAATCCTTGCAAATTATATTACTGTATTTCTGTTTTTGTAAAGAGCATCTTTTTGCTCATCAATGTTTCGTGTTTAAATAAAAGTTATAAAGTTATTAGATATACTTTGCCTTCAAACTGTTCTATTTATTTAATCAAACATAAATTTCTCACAGCAACTCTTTACAGCTTCTCTGTGTTAACCAGTTTACAATGTGAAACTATGATCTTTTTATTAGAAGCAGCTGTCACCTACACTAGTCCTGTGACAAAAGAGGTCTATTTTTATGGAATTTTTACCACTCCACAGTAAGTAACACTGCAAGTAACACATGATGTGTTGTGAATTCCTAATTACTAGTGTTGAGGATAAGGCACAACTGTTCTCGTTCAAGTCAGAAACTGCCAAAAAAATTAGGGTATTTGGTATGGAGAAATACAAAATTATGCACCGAAACAATTTACATAATTACATGGTATAACTCGAAGCTTTGGTCATGTGTTTTGTTACAGTATTAACTTCTTATTCCATAATCTACCTCTCTACTCTCTTCAAGGCAATATTTAATACTTTATTATCTGTCAATAGATTCTAAATCAAACAAACATGCTTCCTTTCTCACTTTACCAATGGTCATACTTTAATTTAAATGAAAAAAAAAAAAAAATGCATCTTTTGTCGCTGTCATACCCACAGCCTTATTTCAATCTGTGTCCATTCACCCCAAGCCTCAATCCACCTGTGACTGGGTGCATTTTGGAAGTCTGAGCTGAGAATAGCCTTATCTATTTATTATGAAAAGGTAGTGGAGGATGCAAATGTGCGGCAGCTACCACATACATATATTTAACAATTATTCCACGAGCGCGCGTTGGATATGAGATGATAGATAGCCAACGAGGCGCGTAGCGCTGAGTTGGCTATCTATCATCTCATATCCAACGCGCGCTCGTGGAATAATTGTTAAATATATGTATGTGGTAGCTGCCGCACATTTGCATCCTCCACTACCTTTTCATAATAAATAGATAAGGCTATTCTCAGCTCAGACTTCCAAAATGCACCCAGTCACAGGTGGATTGAGGCTTGGGGTGAATAGACACAGATTGAAATAAGGCTGTGGGTATGACAGCGACAAAAGATGCATTTTTTTTTTTTCATTTAAATTAAAGTATGACCATTGGTAAAGTGAGAAAGGAAGCATGTTTGTTTGATTTAGAATCTATTGACAGATAATAAAGTATTAAATATTGCCTTGAAGAGAGTAGAGAGGTAGATTATGGAATAAGAAGTTAATACTGTAACAAAACACATGACCAAAGCTTCGAGTTATACCATGTAATTATGTAAATTGTTTCAGTGCATAATTTTGTATTTCTCCATACCAAATACCCTAATTTTTTTGGCAGTTTCTGACTTGAACGAGAACAGTTGTGCCTTATCCTCAACACTAGTAATTAGGAATTCACAACACATCATGTGTTACTTGCAGTGTTACTTACTGTGGAGTGGTAAAAATTCCATAAAAATAGACCTCTTTTGTCACAGGACTAGTGTAGGTGACAGCTGCTTCTAATAAAAAGATCATAGTTTCACATTGTAAACTGGTTAACACAGAGAAGCTGTAAAGAGTTGCTGTGAGAAATTTATGTTTGATTAAATAAATAGAACAGTTTGAAGGCAAAGTATATCTAATAACTTTATAACTTTTATTTAAACACGAAACATTGATGAGCAAAAAGATGCTCTTTACAAAAACAGAAATACAGTAATATAATTTGCAAGGATTATGCATTTGTACAAAGGAAATACAGGAAAAGAAATAATCCTGTACAGACTTACGGATTTCGTTGTAATCAAATGGAATGTTGCCAGGGACCGAACACATTATTCTGGTCTTTACAAATGAAGTGAATCTATTTTTCAATCGTCCATCACCTCCCTCACTGACACAGTAAATCTCGTGCGTGGGAAATTAACGTCTCCTGCCCCTAACCCTACAGGAGACGGGACCTCCATTTATTCATGGAGTGTAGTATCACTGATTATTTTTTAGTTTTTTCATTTTACTGCAGCTTGCGTTGACTTAGCGATCACAATTTCATCTTGTAAAAATTAGCAAAGGGCTGCTGAAAGCCATTTTTGCTTTTCTTGATATTCACTATTTATTGCAGTGATTATAACGACATACATTATTGATTTTACTCTGGTATTCTTGAAATTTGCTTTGGGTTGAGTTACCACAATTGAAAATTGCAGTGATCAATACACTTATGGAAGGGTTCCTTGTACAGTGTGAAGAACTTGTTGTTTTGTTTGTTTTGTGGGAAAAGCCTCATGACCAGCACACTCTTATTGTAGGCTAGGAGTCCTGGGCTCAGCAGTTTGTTCTTACAGTGTGAAGTCTCTTCAAGAGTTATTTGATAACAGTCCTTACTTAAAGGAAACTGACAATAAAAGTTTTGATGGAACTTCCTTGTGGGTCAAAGAGTTTCCTGTAAATTTGTCAGTGGTTCCTGGCAGACCAAAGGTGTGTAAATTTTTTTAGCTTTGTGAAACTATAAATGATGCTATCAGATGCCACCTTTGTTGAGTATTTAATATTTTTGTGACTTTTGCCATCAATATAGTTGTGTTTCAAGGACTCTTGTAAATTAGAAAGATATAGCAACTCTGAATATGGAAAGATCAGAAGAGGATATGGCATCCCTGAATGTTTGAGCCATTTATGCAAGAAATGTTTGTGGAAACATGTACATTTAACACGGAATGTAGGGCTCATTTCACAATTGTTTTGGACAACAACTTTTAACCATGACATGTTGCTCCCAGTATGGTTTATTTCATAGCACTGTGGTCAAATTCGTCTACAAGAACAAAGAGGCCACTAAATTCTGCTTTGTCCCCAACATGTGGCTTTGTAGCTCAATTGCTAGTAATGCTCAAGTAGTACCAAGGAGGCACAAGTTTGAAACCCATTGAAGCCTGGATATTTTCTGGCTTCTTTTCTGCAATAACTCGGATTTCTGCGAGGAACTTTTCTTCACTTGATTCTCATCCACAGGTCAACTAATGATTCATTTCATTAAAACTGTTTGCAGAATATTTACATTTAACGTATTTTGATAATTGATTGTTCTTCTAGTGCAATGCACAGCTGGATACCAAGAGGTATTCCTGGAAGATCACCCAGTTTGCTTCTGACCATCCTCTCTTGGCTGTTCCACTCATGCCAACATCATTATTTAAGGACCCCAAACCCTTGTTTACCAAGGCAGGCACAAGGTAATAGATTTTACTCTTGGGCATTGAAAGAGAAACTTAGAATGTTATTTTTTGCATATTTAAAAAATATTTATTTAGCCTGAGACACCGATTAGTTGATATTCAAAGCATGGAGATGCCTAGGGGTATTTGTTTGAATAGCAAAGAAAAAATCCATGTCGTTTTAATGATCCTGCTATGCTGTTCGTTTTTTCCTTATTGAGCATGAACACAGAGTATACAGTGTACTGTTTTCTGCTTTTTTAACCAAGAATGAGGTATTTATGGGAGGATTGCAAACTGGGCCCTTGCCATGCTGACCAATGAACAGTGAGTTCAATACAACTAGGCCATAGTCTTGAGATTGTGTTGAAATTATGAATTTGTCAAGGTTAAAAGTTGTCTACTTTTTGGCTGAAGAAAAACCTTATAATGGAAAGCCTCTTTTAGCACTAAGCGAGTGCTTTACATATGCATCGTAAAGTGCTTGTGCTTACCTTTTCGTTCACCACAAAATGGAACTTATGTTTTATTTAAAGGTTTTTCTCGCCTTTGCTGAATGCTATTTATTTACTCTATTTTTTTTGGTTTCTTTTCCAATACATTTAAACGAACTCTATCTTTCAAAAAATGTTTTCTCTTCCTTCTGTTATACTTTCGAGAGCATATGTTCTAGGGTACGTGAAAGTAGAAAATAAATTGCATGTTGCCGCGAGTAACACACAGATGATACACTTGGCTGTGCCTTGGGTGCCTATTTTTCGTTCTTACCACATTTTAATGCTATTTAAAAGGATGCAAAAAGGGTGGCTAAAAGGGTGCAAAAAGGGTGGCTTTATTATACAGCGCCACAGCGAACTTAGAGACTTAGAAGCTGAACTTTTAGGAATTGTCTGCAAAGATGTGGAAATCGAACCCCAACTCAAAGACGCGACAGGAGAGCAATTTAACAGTGGTTCCAACATGGCGCAAGATGCAAGGCGAGACATTCATGCTCGTGGTTTCTAGGAACACAATCGATCTGCATTTTTCGATATTCGAGTTTGTCACCCAAACGCTGAATCGTACAGAAATCTGAAACCGCAGCAGATTTACCGCATGCATGAGAATTAGAAGAAACGTTCCTACTCAAGACGTGTTCTAGACATCGAACATGGTTCATTTACGCCTCTTGTGTTTACTTCGGCTGGTGGAATGGGCCAAGAATGTTTGGGATATTACAGTCGCCTTGCAGAACTCATTGCAGACAAGAAAGGAGAACGCTATTCAAAGACAATTTCCTGGATCAGGGCAAAAACTTCATTTGCATTATTAAGATCCGCTCTAATCTGCCTAAGAGGATCCAGAAACAATTAGAAGGCCAAAATTGGATTTTACTGATGTAGACCTAGATATTCAAAGTTCAGAGGCTGCCATTTGTTAGTTAGTTTTTTATTTAATAATTTGTTAGTCGACATTTTCATGTACTTTTTTATTTTTAAGGATTTTATCTTCATTTGTTTGTAAATATTTTTGATGATTAGAGTGAATTATCGTTATCATAGTGTGGATCCTCTAGTTTTTCTTACATTRATATTAGATGTTTTAACACATTTTTTCGATTTTCAAGCATTTTATCATAATTTTTGTTATAATATTTTGTGATTATGGTGAATAAAGGATTATTTTGATTATTTAAAAAAAAATTTAATGTTATCTATGATTTATTATTACCACAAGTCAAGGTCACTTGTGACCGACAAAAAGTAAAACTTGAATCACCTACCATGTGTATCGCTTTACAGCCGAAGTAGTTTGTTCCAACGTTTTCTACTTTGTGCTACACCAGGTATTTTGACTCCACGTTTTCTTACTCTGACTAACATTTTTGGAAGCTATTTTTTGACTAGATCACGTCATAGTTCAATTTTACGAAAGCGCCATTCGCTTAGGTGAAACCCAGTAGCTTTGCATTCATTGATGTTTTCCAAAACCAGTTTTGTGTGGGAAACCAGTTAATTGCTGGTAAAAGGCCTTAAGCTAATCAGGATCAAGTAATCGTACTCTCCTGAAATGCCTGAGGTGCTCTCATGTTTGAGAAAAATGCCCTTGGTCAGTCAATCAGCATTCAGTTATTTTGCCTTGAGTGTGAGTTTTAAAATTAATGCAGTTGTATGTTGTTGTAGGTTTACTCAGCTTGTTGTGGACAAAGTTAACGTTGGCAATGGACGGATCATTCCTGTGATGTTTATTTCTACTGGTGGGTAATTGAGTGTTGCCATACAAAATTACTGGATTTGTTAAAATATCGGCAGATGCCTTGATGTGGAAGGTGAATTTTATGAGATCTGTTTTAAAGATAGAATGGAAAGTCAATATTGAGATCCGGGGGTGACAGGCTTAAGTACATATCATGTACATCCGTCAGTGTTTATGAAATCAGTTTTACATAGTCATGCATCTAATTGCAATATCGTTGTCATAAGAAATAAGCAGCCTGAGAAAGCAAAAAGGAAAATCCAGTAGTAGAAGTAGCACTGACTAATTATCTTTAAAAATTGCATTGTGGCTTTATACACAATACTAACAGTTCTTATGGTCTAACATTTCCTTACCAAATGGTAACCTTACTTAAAAGCTTATTTATTTACAAAATTGTTAAAATATAAAAATTATCTAATATTTCTCCTCGGAAATATAGCAATTTTTGAGACAAAGAAACTTACAAAATAAAATAATAGGGTAGGAATATAGTAGTTGCACTACTTTTTTTCTGCGGTATCAAAAAATGTTTCACTACTTACGATTTACGCTCCCATGTAAATACTGGCAATGTAAATAATTATGTCTGGCAGTGTAAATAATGTCAATGAAAATATTTCCCTTTTATCTCGTGTTTATGTTCCATTTAGTATTTGATATTGTTACTATAGGATGATTTTAAGTGACATAAACTTTTACATACATGTATATATATTTTTTATTTTATTCTTTGTTCACGCACACGTTTTGACGGACGCAGATGTTCCTAAATGTTGCGTGATTAAATAAAATACTTAGTACTTATACCAAAAATACTTACAGTCATTTATTACATCCATTTTGAAACCACCGGTGAACACGTGCTTATTTACAACAAATTGCACGAGAAATCACGTTAGTTATTACTTAGTAATAATTTACATGAAAAAGGCATCACAGAACGTCACGAAATTTTGAAAGCGCGCTGGCGCTATTTGTTATTTGCACTCTTGTTACGACTTTGCTCTCATGTTACATAAAAATGCGCTTAAGTTTTCATGCATGATTGTTGCAACACGAACAGAACTAGTGGTACTTTCTAATGGTGCTCATCTTTGTAACTAGTAAAAGTACTGGAGAATTCCTTGTGTTGTTGTGTGCCAGTACATAACTTATGGATCTTATGTTCCTTTCCTTTCGGGAATTATTGAATTAATTTACATATTACATCTGTAGACAATGGCACAGTGTTTAAAGTGTTCAACAATATATCTGGTGATGGCAATGCTATTGTTGTGGAGCAAGTGAGACTTCTTGAGGTGTGTATTGGGGATTGCTTATACACTTAACCAGGCTCGAATGAACAATGTTAAGTCGCCATTATTGGGGAATATCATTGGAATAATGTGGATCAACAGGTATATTCTAGCATAATTAGGAAGCTTTCCAGTGTCGCTTTTGGTCCAGTGGGCATAAAGTTTTCTTTTCCTTCGAGTATATACCTAACGGTACCTGAGTTTATATACCTCTAAGTGTTAAGCGAATGGCTCAGTCTTATCTATTTCTACGTACATGCATACGTTTATTGCAACTCCCAAGGTGGGTTTTTAAGTTACAAAGCTACATTAAGTTATTGTAATATTATAGTAACATTTATTTAGTAACATTATATATATATATATATATAAGTAAGTCAAAAGCTAAATACAATTTAGATACAAAAGGCCAGTACACGTTAAAAACACTAGTGAATTAATACAAAAATTACACAAGAATAGAAGATAGAAACGATTCATCTTTGCGCAACGTTTCCACTGAGGAGCGAATTCAGTAGGCGGAGCTTAAAGGCGTTTAGATTCTCAGCTGCTTTTAAGTCCTTTGGGAGGTTTTTCCGCAATTTGCATCCACGATACATGAACGCACGTTGCCCAGAGGACAGGCGGCATCGTGGGTTGTGGAGCAGATTACATGATCTTGTTACCCTACTGTGAATACGAGATCGTGGGACAAACGTGTTAGCCAGATATTCAGGAACTAAATTATTTACACATTTAAATACCATTAAAGCATCGTTGAAATAGTCTCTCCTGAGCCAATTAAGAGATTTTATGCCTTTGTAGATGTGGTCAAATTTCTTAAGACCTAATACAATATGGGCAGCGAAGTTTTGCACTAGCTGAAGCTTCTTTATATTTCTTTGACATGTGTTGGCCCATACAGTTGAACAATAATACATTGTACTAAAAACAAAAGCGTTCTTAAAAAGGAAGAGAGTTTTCCTGTCCAAAAGGTGTTTGATCCTGCTGATCTGTACTAGTTTGAAAATACAGTTAGAAGTAGTTTTAGCAATATGATCGTTATATGTTAAGGACTGGTCGATGTAGACTCCAAGGTCCTTTGCCACAGGGACTGGTGTTATTTCCTTTCCCAAGAGTGAAATTGACGCTGGAGGCAATTTCCGCAGTAGTTGAGGAACACCAACTAGTAAGATTTTAGTTTTAGCTGGGTTTATTAGAAGGGAATTCTGACAGCACGATCGGCAGATTTCACTCAAGTCTTCGTTCAGATAGCCAAATACGCGTGCGATGTCAGTTGAGCGAAAGGATAGGTACAATTTACAGTCATCGACGTAGCACACAGACTTGCAGTGAGTTGGAACGGACAAGAGATCATTTACATAGATGATAAGTAACACGGGCCCCAAGATAGAACCCTGAGGAACTCCGTATTTAAAAGGGAGCGGGTCTGAGATAGCATCCCTAATGCGCACTCTCTGGCTACGACCAGACAGGTAATTATGAAACCACTCCAAGCTCGAAGAGGCAACACCTTTACTCTGTAACTTCTGAAGGAGAATATCATGTCTGATACTGTCGAATGCCTTAGACATGTCTAGTAGCACGACAACGGACACTTCGCTTTTATCAGTAGCCATGAGAAAATCATCTGTTACGTGTA